GAATAAAGGACTTTGATAAACAAAACAATTGGTTTGAAAATCCCATTAAAAGGGGACAGAAATTCGACATCAAAATTTTTTATTGACCTGGAAACAGGATGCATAACTATTACCCATGGTCCACTGCCTGGATTCACCAGCAATGCTCTCATGCCTTCCTCCAGGCTGACACAGCAGTCGTAGGCGGCTTGCTTCTAGCCATCTAGTCTGGTTGCCTGAGTAATTTACCAGATTATCTCAAAAAATTGGTCAAATAAGCAAAATCCTTGGGGAAAAGCTGAGGCGCGATACTTCGGTATTTGTTTGAAGCTTCTCTTTGGTTTTACGGGCGCTTAAAGCTCCGCGATTGTGCTTCTACTAGGCGTTATAACCTCCGGAAGATGCCGTTTGCCTTCCAGTTCTTTTGTGTGTCGCTCATACATATTCTGCTTTAGTATTATGCCTTCTTTCGTCCTCAGGAAAGACTTAGGGGCGTTATAACTGCTTCTCGAACTTATTGGTGGAAATTTTTGACCACGTCTGTGTAATTCCACAGTTCAAAGTTACATAAGCTTACAATACCTCGATTAGCGCATCAAGTCATCCAAAATTTGTGATTTTTATATATGTGCATGATATAAATACCCCAAGTTAAGTGATGAAAGCGGTAATTACTAAAAAATAAATCTTCATTGTGGCTGTATGTAAACCCGAAATCAGGTAACTCATAGGCGGGATATGTAGCAAACGCAAAGCCATTCAGCAGTGTCACCAAAAACCAAGGCTATATTGGCTTTCTTGCAAAATTCCAGTATTTTTGTGCAGTACAAAAACGTGATGATTTTTTTTTCATTTCAAACAACTCACTCACCCTAGTTTGATAAGTTTTCACCTTTGTCGTTGGTGGTCGTAAAAACATTACAATGAGGTGACATATACGGCTGGATTTTTAAGGTTACTCGGAGCTTGGTACCCAAAAAGGGTGTGATTAGAGTAAAATCAGCTAGAGTCAGCATGCATTTATAGAAGTATGACATTTTAGAGGAGACCGTCTAAGTTACAAACATTCAAGTATTTTCCTCAATTCCCATTGGTTCAGTAACTTAAAATATCCCATTCAATATAATTTTGTCTTAATTTAAAATCGGACTATAATTAAGTAATATGTTGTTAAATTACTAAGAATTAATTGGCTTTCGTTCATTTTTCGCTCTAATATTACAAACAAATTACACTAGAAATGACAGCACCAAGGAGTAGTTACATCTTGAATGGTCCCTCTCTAAACAGAACGGTGTCGCTAGTTCATTCCCTGTTGTTATTGTTTACAAAATTATCTTTTTCCCTTATTCGGTAATTTTCTGAGGTAAAATTTTCAACTAAGGCATTTGCTTAATGATCTGGGAATTTAAAAAGGTAATATTTCAATTTTAAAGACACAAAGGGGGAGAAATGGACTTAAATTTAGCAATTTCAAACCGTCACACAGAGGCCTGGAATTGATGGATGTCCTTCGATGAACAAACAAATGGCTGTGTAGCCTGTTTTAGCTGCCATTAGTGTAGTTGATCCCAAAAGGCTTTAATGTAGGCTCTTTTGTTAATGTTAAGCGATTACCCAAGGAAGTTGTGGTGATATAAACTCGGTGGCACTTACTAGCAGCCGTTTTGATTTCCTAAGTCTTTAGGTCCCCAATTGCCAAAATGGTCTTTTATTAATTCAAATAGTTGTAAACGTATTCTGTGTCCGGTGCTCGCTGTGCACTAAAATCGTTTTTTGGGGGATTTGAAGTAATCATCTCCAGGTCGTTTTAACACTTTACGGTTTTGCCAAATGGAGAAGTCAACAATGTGACGTGTTTCCATTCAAGCACTCGTGAATTAGATCCCGTCTTGGTAGATGTGACGCGTTCGCCACCACTTGCACAGATCGAGAAACGCCGAAATCATTAAATGGAAGCATCGTCATTTGGCTAAAGATTTCTTTGGCTTTTAAATACTTAAATTCACACGCAAGTGGTACGAGAGGGGTTATATCAAAGAAAGATAAGACCAAACTTTCCCACTGGAGCCTTATCATTACTCCGAAGTGGGTCCTTGACTGTTGAAATGTCGTTGCTATAAAAGTCATTTTAAACGATGGACGAACACTTGGTGTTGTTTTGCAGCCAAACTATAAAAGAAGTGGACGTGCATTTGAGAAGGAGAGTATGACCAGAAAGCTGCATGGTATTTCTGTATGGTCGTCACGTATCGAAGGTGACTTCGCATCATGAAGTAAAGTTTTATCAAAATAGTTTACTTGAGCACCTATCAAGATCATGTAGACTACCTTCCATGTCTAAAAGCGCCTATCCACATACACATAGGGCGTAGATTTTCGCACGGAAGTGAATAGAGCAGTTTTCTGGTTAGCCCAGCGGAGGGCAATAGTAAAAAATAAAGGCACTGGCCCCTAGACTTGTTTGAGGGCTTTGTCCAAGTCAACACTTTTCTCACTTTGTTGTGCTGAGAATTCTCTATCCCTCGCTTCAAAAAAAACTAAAATTCGAGATTTATTTTTTAATGAGTTCCGCGAGGAGTCACATTTACTGGTGTCAGCTTCAAATTAATAACAATAATTTGTGATTTCACGGTGAATTGAGCCGCTTTAATGGCTTTAAGAATGCACTAGCACTCGAGCCTAAAATAGCTCATTCAAACAATCTGGTTTCTTATTCTTTTGAACCCTACCCCCAGTGTTTTAGCTAATGCTGATTTATTTGTCTTTAAGTGTTTATCAATTATTACTCCTCAGCACTCAGTAAAAATGTGACGGTATAAAGCATACTTTTAGTCAGTGACCATTTCGAGTCTACGTGTTGCTATCCGCCAATAACCTAATGGCAAATAGTCAATTTGATTCTTCCACGGCCTTCAAGATTGTAAGATCTACGCCAAACCAAAAAGGATCTGTCCTCCCCAACACTGCATGAATGAACATGAAGTTATT